AGTGTGCGAGATTTCGAGAATACGCAGTCTGACAATGTGTGCGGTACTCACTTTGGTGATGCGGCCAGACCAAGTGTTTTTCTAACGACAGTGGCGTCTACCTTCCATCATATATTGCTCTGGACTCTGAAGGTGTGAACTACATACCAAAGCTTGCGATGCAGTTCTAGCCTGTTCAGTAGCGCTTCCTTGGCAGATTGGTGCGGCCCAAAGAAGATCATGATGCCCACCTGTATGTATGTGTTCTCAACAGTCTATTAACTAGACACAGCCAGTATAAAACCATGGAGATCGACAGATAAGTAAAATTCAACGCGTCATAATCATCGTGGCATGCTAGTTGAGCAACACACTTCAACTAATATGCCGCAGAAAGAATGGAACATTTTGACAAAAAGTAGAACAAAACATTTTAGTTGCTTTTTCACATGCCGCTTTTGTTCTTTTTTGTCATTTTCAATGTTTGTAGTATTAATCATGTGAATCAACACAATATTGTACACAAGTCTTCCACTGATTCCGGTTGCGGGCCTTATCTTCAAGAGTGCTAAGCCATTGGCACTCCTCATCTTTGGGTCCCCATCCTGGAAGACGTACGGATCCAACAGCGGCTAGACACGACGTCAGCGATTTCATGTGCTGCCGCCAAGTGGAAAGCTGATCACTACGCGGTCGCCTCCAGTCAGGTCCTTGAAGAGCGAATAGAGCGCGACGCGGTAGACGCTCAGGTGCCATGCGTAGGACATGACCGAGTCATCTTAACTGGCGCAACAAAACCAGTTTGTTGAAGGAAATACTTGCATTCCCCAAGATGCGACGTCGAACCTCATTACTATTAACTCGATGTTGCCACCAAACACAAGCGATCCTTCTTAAGCAACCGTTATCGAATGCAGAAAGACGACGCATGTCTTCCACGCGAATCGGCCAGGACTCGCACCCATACAACAATACTGAGCGAACTGATGCGCTGTAAATGCGGCCCTTTAGTGAGAATGAGACGTCGCGACGACGCCACAAGTGCCTCAAATTGACAAATGCTGGTCGAGCTTTAGCGATACGAAGAGAAACTTCTTTGTTGATAGTGCCGTCAGCAGAAACACAGCTCCCAAGGTAGACGAAAATATCTACCTGTTCAAGTTGTGCACCTTCGAGAGTGAGCACAGGAGCAGGTGAAAGCCAATCCTTGAGCAGTACTTTACACTTCGATGGGGCGAACCTCATGCCATACTTAGATGCTTCAACCGCCAAACGATCCAGAATGAGTTGCATACTCTGAGGATCGTCACCAAGTAAGGCGATATCATCAGCATAATGTAAGTCGGTCACGCGCTCACCCGGTAGAAGCTCTAAGCCAAAATGTTGGAAACCTTCTAGAGCATTCGACAGAACGTCTTCGATTGCGAAGTTGAAGAGGAATGGGGACATAGGGCAACCCTGTCGCACACCTGTAGTAAGCTAGCTAGACGATCACTTAGCAGAACCCTCAGTTGAGGAACTAGAAGGGTTGGATAGAGTCAGTCCTGTCCACTTGGATCACAAAGTCTAAGGGAAGAATGGCATGAGATAATCGTGATGCACAAATGCAAGTGTAACTTCTCTTTAAATCTGCACAAAATCATAGGCGTTTGTCGCATGCATATATTAAAATAGCAAGAAACATCTCAGGTAGGAAAGCAGTCAGCTATAGTCAATACAGTCTGAGACGGTCTTCACATTTTGTCAGGCTTGAACCCTTGGTGTGGAATTGAAATACAATTGATTCACACCATTAAGCTATCACATAGTGACCCAGGTGCGTTGTTTGGAGGTAATTGAAATCGTATTATAGTGATAATATACAAGAAGGGCAGCTTCGCAGACTGTTTTAACCACAGGGTATTAGCCTAACGTCAGTGGTGACAAAATTACTACCCTAAACTCACCTTCGTTGTTTCACTGCGGGAAGAGAATTCCGAATTACGGAAGAGCAAGCAAGTTTCCGCCCAGAACGTGGCTGTATAGATCAGATATTCACTCTGCGGCAGGTGTTAGAGCATCGTCACACGTACCGCAGACCGACAATAGCTGTGTTCCTGAACTTCAAGAGTGCGTTCGATTCGGTCAGATGGATGCTTGTGCGGAAAGGTGTTTCCATGAAATATGTGAAGATTTTACTTGCCCTGTACTCGAACGCCACAGGCTTCGTTAGGGTCTACGGGGATTTGTCGAATGCTTTTCCGACAACAAGTAGAGTTCGTCAGGGTTGTCCAATTTCCCCATTTTTGTTCAACTTCGTCGTGGACTCCATCATGGAGTGTTCCCTTGCGGAATCTCGAGATGCAGGTGTTGATGTGCTGCCTGATGAAAGGCTAGATGATTTTTAGTATGCGGATGATATTGTCTTGCTGTTTAACGATGTTGAGGTGGCCTAATTAACCCTGAGTACCACAACATATGGCATGCGCTTCGCACCTCCAAAATACAGTTGTTGTAGAACCACTAGCCACTTGTTGACTCCTTGACTATTAATAACGAGGAACTCGAGGTAGTTGATCAATTCACTCACCTTGACCACTGTATCAACAACGATGTGTGCATGGTGACTGAGGTCATTTCACGTATTGCGAAAGCCAGAGCTGCCTTTTTGAATATGTGACATCCGTGGCGATAGAAAGGGGTTTCCCTCTGGTTGAAAGGCCGTGTTTACAACGCCACGGTGAAGGTCGTCCTACTCTAGGGGAGTAAGACAGTCCGTTTGGCCTGAAGATCTGAGGCGTCTTCAAGTAGTTGATCATCGCTGTTGTCGGATGGCACCAGCGTGTCCGCAATGATGTGTGTTAGTGAGTAATAAGTAGTGATAAACAAGCTAGTTCCTTAGAACAACAGGTAGCATTGAATAAGTTGCGTTGGCTTTGGCATGAACTAGGTATGTCCGGTCACTGCTTACCGAGGAGGGCCTTGTTTTGTCTGCCAGATGTAGGCGCAAGGTTCGAGGTAGACACAAGCTGATTTGGCAGCGGGAAATGAAGTCACTGACGACCAAACTCGGTGCCGTCGGTCCGTCTCGCCTTCGAGGCTGGAGTTCGCGTGACTCGCCTTGTGTTTGGCTCAAGACTTTACAGGACATGGATCGCAGTCGGCACCAGTGGAGTGTCTGCTGTCGTCCCCTAATCTGACTACTTGTTTAACGTTTGTTTGGTGGTGAGTTATCTGCGGGGTTGTGGCTAATTATGACGCGGGGCAGTGAAAGCCGCAAGGAATTCGTCTCGTTGATGTCGCCTTCTTTGCATGATAACCAGCTGTCTGTGATGGTGTGTTGTTGACAAGAGGTAGGCGCCTTGACCCTGAATGTTTGTTTAGAACATTAAGGTTTTCCGGTAAGTCCCCTTCTCTCCTTCTTATTATTCTTCGTTCTGTAGGTCGTTATGGTTGTATGGAAGCGAAGCATCAATTCAAATGGCTAAGGTACTGCTGTTGATGATGATGATAAGTGATTGCTTGGAACGTTGGGGTTTTACGCTAGGTCCCCCTTACCTCCCACTTGTTATTCATTTCGGGGGGTCATTGTGGTTACGCGGCTAGTGAACTGCTTTTGACGATTATATATGCATCAACAAAGTCCAGCAGCAGCAATAAATCGGCTGAGGGATTGCTACTGTACAGTCATAGCTAGCCTAATCAGAGATACTAAAGGAATAATAACAAAAAAGATAAGAACTGATTAAAAACATCAACACCGCAAGCAAATAAATCTACGGCTCATACAATCTATCAGATGTCGTTGACTATCATTAAGGAAAAGACAATGGAAACATCGCCTACTTGGAGGTAAGTGTACAGACGGCTCACTAGTGCCTCAATCAAGTAGGGATACTGGTGTTAAGGAGTATCCAGTTTTATTGCGTTGATTAGACAAGGCAGGTGCGGACTAAACCCTAAGTAGGTAAATATCAAGGTCCACATACTGGTGGTTTTAATTGATGCACTGGTGAGACGTTCGACAAATCCTCGAATGCAAACCAGTTACTTTATTTCGGTAAGTTCAAGAGGCATTTAAGCGCCTAGTACGGGATGACTTGCCTGGCAATACCTTTTAGCTGAAAGGGGTGGTATGCAATCCGCAGGTTACCAAATGCACGCTGACTTTGAAGTAGCTATAATCCACATACAGCTGCAAGTAGTAACGTAGTAATGAAGTGCCAATGCGGATACCAGGCATAGTGTTGATTTGATGAACCCTGGAATCCGAGATTTGACGACTAGTGGCCTCAGAACCAGCTACAATATTGATTCAAAATGGAAAGATTAAGGAGATAAGGCCGTTCTACATTTGATTGGGCGCACTGACTTGCAAACTTTGCAGTAGAAAATAGTTTTCTTTCATCGACATCATAACAAACACCGTGTGTATACAGTTTAGATTACTAAAAATCCTGTAGCAACACAACGGAGAGGCAGCAAACCAACAGGATTTACTACACTGGGCAATGAATAAGCAGAGATAAAGAGAATTCCCGTTGAAGCTACGTACTGAACGAGCAAGACAAAGTAATCACACGCGCAGCTAGACATGCGAACTAGGGTCACTGTCGTGAGAGATATGACAATTCTAAGTAATAGGTGGTTGCATATCGATCGTCGATCATCTGGTGCCCACATGAATCGCTGATAATGATGTGGAGAAAAATTGTGGGATAATATTGCCGACAAATTGACAAAGCATACGGGCGGAAATTCAGGTTGAGTTAACCTGTTAGTAAACAAATCGGCAAACTCAAGAACCACTATTCGTGAGCGGGCGCCAAAACATAACCCGTCACTTATTCTTGGCTCATTCGTTCGATTGCGCATAGCGCGCCCACCTTTCGTGAACATAGAGAAGTGTATGCACCAACATGACTAAATAAAATACGCTAATAAGCAGTACCGAACAGTTGAAACGCATTAATGTGGGCCAAAGGATTTAATTGAAGTGAAATAGAAATTAAAACAACCCAGTGAAGTCTTTAAAAACTTGCCTTTCTCCTTATTCGCCGCTGTGTAACTGAACCCTGGAGCTTGACCAGTTTTTCTTCCGATAATGCCATGGAGATTAGGACCGGTTTTATGAACTCCGCCTTTTTCGACAGTATGACACTGGGAGCACCGTTGTACGAATATCTTCTTTCCCTTAGTTGCGTCCCCTGGTGGAACACCCATTGTTGCGGAGGGTGAGGAACTCGCAATGCGGGACTGTACTATGCGTCTGGGGCGAAGATCCTGAGGGCTTCCGTGTCTAATGAGTACGTAAGTACTAACAGAGCTAGGGGGAGTAATGGAAACAAACACTTCAAAGGCGTTTGAATGACGTTATTACAAGCACCTAGTATGAGACCACATTGGATATAGGGTACAACCAGCTAACACGTGGCTGGCTTGATGCGGCCGAGGGAAACAAGTTTGGACCGAATGGATTCAGATGCAGATGGGACTGGAACAATAGGAAAATCCATTGAGTGTATCGTTGAGTCAAGGAAGGATAATGTGTTACGAGGTCTTGATAAATCTAAAAGGAAACATCCGAACCGCACTCTGGTAAACAAATTAGTGTTCATGTTTCCTGCACTAGCAGTACCCGCTGTGTCGGTCACGTGAAGTAAGAAAGAGGTGGGGAGAAAATGGAAGGGAAAGAAAAGGAGTTATTTAAATTATCCGCGAGTAGAAGCCCAGGATATGAGGATGAATATCGTCAGGAGAAGGGAAATTTTGTGTGCTGCCACCCAATAGCGTCTGACTGTCATTTGAAACCCATAACCGCAATATCATTGACTACATTTACTGGAAGTGAGTTCCAGCGGTCCGTAACTCTATGTGATAACCGAGTTTCCGCTCTGATCCGGTCGGAACGCGGTTTGTGTAGCTTCATTGGATGACCGCGAAGGCAAGGCAACCTAGCCGGGCTAAATGGCCAGCTTAAGTCCGGTAGAACCTTCAGTTAAAGTGCGGTACGTGAGGATCAGGTCTCCTCGAAGCCGTCGGTTGTGCAGTGAATACATACCCAAACTAAGTGGACGCTCGTGATATGTTTACCCCGTAACCACGCGACCAATTTGGTAGGTACTAGCAAAACCTTCACGAGCTTTATTTTGTCCCAAACGAGACAGGACGGACAAGCCTGGACGAAATATGCCAAATGAAGACGAAGAAAAGTTAAGAACAGTTTCACAAAGATGTCCGCAGCTAAGCTTCCGAAAGAACGGCGTAATGAACACGACAATCGGGACCCCTACTTACGGCCTTCTTCCAGTTGTCACTTGAAGACGAGGAGTGGACGACGCCTAGGTCTTCTTAGTTGGAGACAAGGGGATGTTCGACTCCATCGAGCACGTACCTCGAAGGTGGGAAAGTCGCTCCTATACAAAGAACAAAACACAGACTGATTAATGGGCAGTAGCCACAAAGTAATCCAATCTCATAGCCTGTCAAGTGCATGCTGAATTGCCTCAGAACCCCTATGGACATGTGTAACATTCCACAGCATTAGGTCATCAGCAAATAATAGCGATGATACTGCAAGCTCCCCAGGGGCATGGTTTACATAGATGGAGAAAAGCATCGGCACAAGGTACGAGCCCTGTGGGGCACCGTTATGGACTGCTTGCCTAAAGGATAAGCTGCGACCTACGCGTACACATTGTTCTCTTTCAAGCAATAATGCAGATACCCCGCAGGAGCTCAGCTTTTGCGATAGTCTCGAGGTACCGTAACAAACTGTTTGGAGAAGTCCAGGAAAAGCACATCACTGTGGTCATTGCTCACTGCCTCGGTACAAGCTTCAGGAGCAACCAACAAATTCGTCAGACACGAAAACCCCTTCCGGAATCTGTGTAGCGCACTAATGAGTAGAGTAAAATCTACTCAAGTGACCTTCCAACGAATCTCTCGCCAGCTTCTCAAGCAGTTTGACTACGACGCTAGCCAGATTGATTGGTCTGCAATAGACTGACAGATTCTAATCCCCCATTTTGGAGACAGGACAGATAACAACTTCCTTTCACCCAGAAGGTAATCTACAGCTCAGGCGACTTTTGGGACACCGGTGTCAGTGGTCCACTTAGTTCCGACGCCAAAGTATGCAGAAGCTACGAGTGAACTGAATCAGACCCAGCTGCATTAGAAGGGAACAGTCAATGTAGCAGCCTAAGGACTTCCGTTCCGGGAGAAGAACTCTCAAGGACGCAGGAGACAAGTTCAAGACTAGTTAAAGTGGCCTCACGCACAGAAGCATACATACTGAATCCAATGTATACCGAATACCAAGTGCACAAGCATCGACAGAACCCGCATAAGCACAAGCTCCATCGGTATGAATCAACGTTGGAACTGCCGAATCTGAAACATAGCGCCAAACAACAAAAGCGAAAAACTTAGGATTTTCCTAACCTCCGTCAGTCAGTCGCCGTTCGTACAACAGCAAAACTATCATAAGATACCGTTTACATAGAGCCAGTCCCAATACTCTGGTCAATCTACTCTGTTAATGCGTGACAAAGAGTAATTCCTTCGGGTGTGAGGTAGAGCGCACTAACTTGCCAACTGTCCAATAGTAGATGTTGGTCTATCTCGAAATGTCTCACCCGGTCACATGGGTGTAGAATGCCCGTATTCATGCATGTGAGCACATGTGTATTTGCCAGTGTCGTCCATCGTGAAAACGCTGGATCATGCAGGGATGGTTGAGTTGGAGTCAACCTACGGCACGCCACAAGGCAAGTTCACCGATCGATACATACGCTGTGTAGCGCTGGTTGGAATGGAGATAGGTGTGCAAAATCGAAACAGCAGTGCCTCATAACCTGATTGCTGCCGTGGAATTGTGGTGGCCCTTCGACAGGCGTAACTGGCCTGAGGAAGGAGTGTTCAATAGGTGCTTAGAATTATCCCAGCTTGTGACAAAAGGGTTATTTGCAACGCTCTTGTAGACTGAAAGTTACCTTCCAACAACCTGCGTTAGCAAAAAAGACATTCCTTACAATTAGGCCTTGCAAATATGAAATGTGACGTTCTGAGAAATGAGTTTTCAAAAGCCGCCTAAAGACCACTCGCTGCCGCATAGCCTATTCTCCCCTCGCAGCGTTGATCGCTGTTGCAGAAAACAAGTGTGGTTGCGTTGCCCAATTTGTTTCAGGCGGGACCATCAGCGTTCATTCCGACATATTCACTGATGAGGCAATATTCTATTAGCAGGGAACTGAGAAGCTGCATTTCTAGGCAATATCTAATCCACGAGGATACTGAGAATCACGTATTGCACAAAACGCGAAGCTCATTGACTTGAAAAAATGAATGACAAATCGTGGGACCACAGCACACGCATGTGGGTTCTCACGCATACTGTGCACCACAAGCCCGTTATTTCTGTGATAACTTTTTTGACACATTATGCTGCAAACGTATCTTTGGCTCAAACCGGGCAGGAAAACCCTTTGGATCTCTGCGACCGATCCACCGGTGACCGAACACCTTAAGATAATGCCGCACCATTTGTGCATAATGGGCAGGTGCGCTATATTGAATTTATAAAGGCTGAAGCGAAATGCCGAAGTAGGCAACGATAATCGCTGGTGAAAACATCTCTGTCTTGTAGCTCCTACGTAATTTGTCAGCGACAGTTCCCTTACCACTGGGGAACCATGATAGTAAGAGGAATGGCGGTAATTATAATTGAGTTACTTGGCAAACACGAGGTTAACGTCATATGAGCAACGGAAGTACGTGACTCTGGCTTTCAAGAAGCGCATAACGCAGCCTACTGAGGCTCAACGGTTTCTTCCACTGCCGTCAACTGTACAGTAAACAGCAACAGTGATGCCTGTACCCTGTTGGGCTATCGGGCGTGTCTCATGTACCCATCTTGCTCTATTTCTCCTAGCGTTCATGCAATGCCGACGAAATATGCGCACCATTACCCATCACAACAATGTGCTGGTGAAATCAATCGCTATGTATTGTACATAAACATTTACATGAAGTATGTTTCAAGAGCATAAGAATCAACGAAATGCATGTTCAAAATGACCACCGTCCTTTTGCTTGTAGAGCATTCATCCTCATCATTATACACGTCAGCTAGAGATGCGAAACACCTCAACTACTGTGCCGTAATACATAAAGCAAAATCAAAATAAATACAACAGTTGCATGCCAGCTGAGGTACCAGCAACGGATAGGCATCGTTCCGGTAAGCTACCAGACGGCTACAAGGAAAAGAGAAAAACTATTGTTTTACGCTGCGAAATGAGATCGTAGGTGGAGGGGAAGCTAAGAGGGATCGGGAGGGACCAAAAAACTCACAGCAAGTACGCCACTGAGGTCGCCTCCTTGTCATGTCAGCAAGTGTATCCAGCCAAACGTGTTCACCGTCTTTCGGACCCCAATCAGGGAGCCGTGAAGCTCTAACCGAGGCCAGCTCCGAAGTGAGGGCATTCATTCCTCGCTTGATACTCACGCGGTGTTCCCACCAGATGTGAGCCAAACTGCGAAGGCACCGATGGTCGAATGTAACTAGCCTCTTCATGTCTGCTGATCTTAGGGGCCAGGTTTCGCAACCGTACATACCGAACATACCGCTGCACTGTACACTTTACCCTTCAAGGCCACAGTGATGTCGCGCCGACGCCGTAAGTGGCGAAGGTTAGCAAAAACATTTCGAGCTTTTGCTATACGGTTCGTAATCTCGTCTTCGATCAAACCGGCGCTGTTACAACTTCCTAGGTAGTTGCATTTCCGAACGACTTCTTGCTGATCCCCACCAAGGGTCAGTGCAGCAGGCGATTCCTGCCAATCTTGGAGGAACGCTTTGCATTTGACGGTGCAAAGCAAAGCCCGAAGCGGCTGACAGCCAGTGCTAATCTGTCCAGCGCGGCTTGGCACGTCTGGGAGCTGTCACAGATGAGAGCAATGGTGTCTGCACACTCCAAGTCAAGAAATCGTTCTCTTGGGAGTAGCTCCACACCTTCCAAGTCACATCCTGTAAATGCAATCTTCATGGCTTCGTCAATAGCGAAGTTGAAGAGGAAAGGTGACAGCGGGCATCCTTGTCTCACATCATCAACAGCAGTACATCAGCCATTTGAACTGATGCTTCGCTGCCATACAACCATGAGCACCTATGAAATAAAGAATAAGGAAAGGGAGAGAAGGGGGACTTACCTGAAAACCTTAATGCCCTAAGCAAACATTCAGGGTCAAGGCGCCTACACCTTGTGTAGACAACATACCGTCACAAACAGCTGGCTATCGTGCAAAGATAAGGCGGCATCGGCGAGACAGCTTCCTTGCGGCTTTCACTGCCACGCGTCATAATCAGCCATTACCCCGAAGATAACTCAGCACCAAACACACTTTAAACAGACAATCCGATTAGGAGACGGCAGCAGACGCGCCACTGGTGTCGGTTGCGAGCCATGTCCTGTAAAGTCTCGAGCCAAGCACATGGTGAGTCACGTGGACTCCAACCCGGAAGGCGAGACGGACCAACGGCACCCAGCTTGGTCGTCAGTGACTTCATTTCCCGCTGCCAAGTCAACTTCTGTCCACCTCGAGCCTTGCGCCATCCTACACCTGGTAGACTGAACAAGGCCCTCCTAGGTAAGCGGTGACCAGGCATGCGGAGCACGTGCCCGAGCCAACGTAACTTATTCAGTGCTATCTGTTGTTCTAGAGAGCTAACATGATCAGCACCCCCTAGTACTCGCCTACGCACATCATCGTTGCGGACACGCTGGTGACATCCGACAACAGCAATGCTTTGCAAACAACGATGATCAAAGACTTGAAGGCGCCTCAGATCTTCAGACCGAAGGGGCCAAGTTTCACTACCATAGAGCAGAACGGCTCTCACTGTGGCCTTGTATACACGGCCTTTCAGACGGAGGTAACTCCCTTCTGTCGCCAAAGATGACGCAGGTTCAAGAAGACAGTTCTGGTCTTTGCAATGCGTGTGCTGACATCAGTTTCTATGCGCCGATCGTTGCTGATGCAGCTGCCAAGATAAGCGAATGGATCGACCACCTAGAGCTCCTCGTTATCAAGTGTCAAGGGATCATCAAGTGGCTGGTGGTCCTGCAGCAACACTTTGCATTTTGAAGGTGCGAAGTGCATACCAAATAATGGGACACTCTGGATAGGCTATTCAGGGTTGATTGTGCTGCCTCAACGTTGTCAAAAAGCAAGACGATATCGTCCCATAATCTAGATCAACTAACCGTTCACCAGGCAGCACTTCAACACCTACATCGTGAGATTCTGCAAGGAAACACTCAATGATAGAATCCACGACAAAATTGAACAAAAATGGGGAAATCGGACAACCCTGTCGAACGCCACTTGTAGTCGAAAAGCTATCCGATAGGGCACCATAGACCCTGACGCGGCCTCTAGTGTTTGAGTATAGAGCACGAAGGATGTTCACATATTTCGTAGGAACACCTTTCCGCGCAAGTATTTCGAACAGAATCGATCGATCGACTGAATCGAACGCACTCTTGAAAATCGAGGAACACAGCTATTGGTCGGTCTGCGGTATGCGTGGCGCTGCTCTAGCACCTGCCGCAAAGTAAATATATGGTCTATACAGCCACGTTCTGGGCGAAAACCGGCCTGCTCTTCCCTAACCCGAGATTACCGTTGCGCAGTGAGGCGACGAACGATAATCGAGGCCAGTAATTTTGTCACAACTGGCGTTAGGCCTAATACCCCTGTGGTTCGCACAGTCTGTGCGACTGCCCTTCTTGTATATTGCCACTATAATCGATTCGCTCCAAGTAGCCGGCACACTCTCTTCGTTCCAGATACGTTCGAATACGGAGGTCAGTGCTTTGCAGAGGACCTCACCACCATCCTTAAATAGTGCAGGTGGGAGGGAATCCAGGCCAGTGGCACGAAAACGATTAAGGGCTGTGATCGCGTTTCGGACCTCGGCCTCCGACGGAGGCTCTAAACTAACCGTCCATGGCTCGTCCTGCATCACCTGAGTAGGAAGAGGTCCGGGAGCAGGGGGGCCAGTCTGAACTGATGTTCAAAGTGCTTCAGCCCAACGAGCCATACGGCGCTCCTTATTGTGTATCAGCGCACCCGCGCTGTCTCTGATTGTCTCACTGACACCTGGTTTTTCTCGACCAGTGGTGCGTATTAGCTGGAAGAGCTTCCGGTAATTGCCCACTGCTCCTGCCTCCTCCATTTCTTGAGCCCAACTGGTTCCACCAGGCTTCCTTGTCAGCACGTAGGCTCCGCTGTAGTTCACGCCTAATAGCCCGTCTGGTAACATTGTGATCAGAACCAGCCGGGAGGTGCCTTCTAACTTCCTAAAAAACCGGTTTCACGGACCTCTCGGATATCCAGTGACTGGTGCGATGGACGACTGATAGTGCCACAAGCAGATGCTCCTGCGTCGTGCCTAGTGGCCGAGATCCTATTCCACTGAAGTTCAGTATCATTAGGACAAGACAGCGATAGTTCGCTATGCAGTGCTTCTTGATAGGCTTGTCTGACAGAGGGCTGGGACAATTTCTCCGTTGCCAATCAGGGGAGACGCTTTGTGCGCCTTCCGGTAAAGTTCATGGAGAAACGACAGCGCACCAAGGCATGGTCAGAGTCGACACAGGTACTCCAGTACGAGCGGCAATCCAGTATGGAACCGCGCCACCTGTAACTTATGGCTATGTGGTCAATTTGGGTCCATCGCTGACCAGCTACAGGTGGACGCCAAGTGGCACTTCGGCGCCCACTGTGTCTAAAAAGCAGTGCTAGTAAGAAACAACTGGTGCTCCGCACACAGTTGCAGCAGACGCTCGCCGTTGTCAGTCCGTTCGGAGTTAAGTCCATACTTACCACCCAGCTGAGCTTCTGAAGAGCTCAGACGCCCTACTTGTGCGTTCATATCCCCTGCAAGTACTATAATATCTGAACTAGTAGCACTGCGTAGCAGCGTGTTCAGTTCGTGATAGAAAG